CGCCCCACATGACCATTCAAATCACCCAACAACACCACAAACTCATTCAACCCCGCTTGCCCAATCTCGTCAGAAACATCATCATAAAACCTATCCTTCTCCTCTTCCTTCCTACTTTGTTGCGGAGCATATCCTGATATCACCCTCACTATTACTTTTCCAAACACCATCACCACCACAATTACCCCATTGCTTCTCCGCCTCACTTCCAACACCTGCTCCAACAACTCTTCTCTTACCATCACACCAACTCCTCCCGTACCATCATCCCCCTTCCACCACAACTTATATCTTCCACCTTTAGCCCCCACAAACCTTGTACCCTCACCCTTCCATCTGACCTCCTGTAATGCAGCCACGTCAACCATTCTCCTCTGCAGCTCCTCCACCACTTCCAAACTTCTTCCTGTCAACGTGCCTACATTCCAGGTACCAAACCTCCAACCCCTTGGTCTACAAGTAGTCCTTCCATCTATAGTGCCTTGCACCGCCACACTATAGAGTGGGGTGCCAGTAGCCAGACCATCCACAGGGCCTTGCACCACAACCCCATCGACTGGGTCTCCGGAGATTCTTCGCACCCTCTTCTGCCGGATACTGAGGGCCATTGTTTTCTCCGTCATCATCATAAGCATTTATTATTTGGCTAGTTTTTACACAGGACGCCCTTCCTTACGCAACCACAGTTATAAGCGGTGGGCCTAGCCTTTGATGATCCAACATCACTCACAAGGCAATGATTCAATAAATTTTTCATAATCAACCACTCAGATGTACGTAAATGGTAGATATTGAAATAATATGTTTTGAATAAATTTGCTCATATTTTCATCTTTCCATCTTTTACTATTCTTTTTCCACAAATTATTATTACATTACTACCAATGAAACCGGTAATACTACTAATATTATTACTATTCTCGTAAGATCAACACTACTACCACAATTTTAACTATTGTTAGTATTTCTCTTGCTACAACTTCTACATTCTTTTTCAAATTATTACAACTACCATCGTTTTTTTTATGTTACTTCTTTGAATATTAAACTTATTACTATAACTTTCTGTCTATACAGTCACCTTTACTGCAACTACAACTCTTACTACTACTGCCACTGGGATTGATTGATAGGGGGTGATGCAGTTTTTTGCCCAGCCCCTCCCGACAGTGGAAAAGCCCTTTCAGTATTTTTCTAAAAATAAGGGCAATAGTTTTTGAATATTTATTTCATTTTACATAGCATTGCTTATTTTAAATAAAAATTTCAATCAATGAATTTTAATCAGTCAAAAATTTCATTTCAAATTTCTATTCTTATAACACTACTGCAAATACTATCACCACTGGCCTTACTACAAGTGCAACTACTAGAGTAGTTATTGCATTTAGCTTCACTGATACTAAACACGTATTTTCAATAGCGTAAGGCGTAATCAGAATTTTTCGGGAAGAAGTTCTGGTATTTTAGAAAATTTTTGAAAACCCATTATAAACCAATATCTTTCACTAACACCTATGAAATATCAAATGGTTTTTCTTTTGTATGATAGGTTGGAACAGTTTAATTTAACGCCAGTCTTTGATTTATTTGGAAATGAACAAAACCTTAATCTAACAAAAATAATTTTATTGGAAACAGAGCGCGCGCGAGTGTGTGTGTGTGTGTGAGTGGGATGTGTTTATGATGTGTATGTCCGTACAAGCTTTGTCTTTGGTGGGTGTTAATGCAAATAAATAAATATATATACATATTATATATATATATAATATATATAAATATATATATATATATGCAATTATTGAAAGAAATCACAGCATGTTCGGCGTTAGTTAACTTTCAATTTATTTCTATACCATCTTCGGTGTTCAAATTGATATGTTGTTTATGTGCCCAACCATAAGGTATCAATTTGAACAGCGAAGATGGTATAGGAATACCGAAAAAGCTTCTTTGTTCTATCATGCATAAAATAAGGAAAAAATTTTGGTTTTGAACTAAAGAAACTTGAAAATGATTTACGATCAACCGTTAGAAAAATCGAAAAGTTAAATTGGAAGTTAACTAACGCCAAACATGTTGTGATTTTTCTCTCTCTCTCTCTCTATATATATATATATATATATATTATACTATATATATATATATATATATATATATATATGTGTGTGTGTGTGTTGTGTTTAGCGTTGTATTTAATGATAATTTATTTAATATATATATATATATATATATATATATATATTAATATAAATAAATTTAATATATATATATATATATATATATATATATATAGAGAGAGAGAGAGAGAAAGAGAGAGAAAGAGAAAGAGAGATGTTGGTTTTAATTTTATAACATTTTTATTACTTCATTATCGTAAAAACTTATTGACAATCGCCCTCTGTGAATAATAATAATAATAATAATAATAACGATTCGTCCACGTGATCAAATATGTGTGTAAGCGGTGTAACAGATTGGTGGTGCGATCGTACGCAGATATATTAATATAATATAATACGACACGATCGATACGATACGATAATACGATACGATACAGGTAGTGAATAAAACGAGATGCCATTAAGTGTCACTATGTCTCAATCCATCCATATTCGTCTGCGTAAAATTCTTTTGATTCGGATATTTATTTCTAATTTGAGTTACATACACTCTGCGAATAAAAATTAAGTAAATAATAGTATTAATAATGATTATTCAAAATTTCAATATTAAAAATTTTCATAAATTGTCAAAAATCTGATTATCTCAATAATTTTTTTTTACTATGAATTAATAAAGCTATCATTGAACCTATTTATTAAATGAATTATTATTAAATACAATTATTAAATCTTATTTTTCTTTGAATTACTAAAGTTATGAAGTACCCGATGGTGATGTTCTTCATGGTCTGTTTTGCGATGGAGGTCTGCCTCGGACAGTATGACGATTATGGCACATGTTAGTATTTTCATTTTTTTATTAATTATTCTATTTCGTTTGATTTTATTTTCTATTTTATTTCTATTTTATTTTTATTTTATTAAACTTCTAAAGACGTACCGAACCTGATCAAATTATGTTTTCCTTCTGACTTGAATATATATTTTTTTCTTTGTCAATTAATACTGAGTTTGGCGTTTCCACTTCAATTCATTTTCTGGTGCCATCCATTTGTTTTATGGCAAAACTATCTGCTACTCTACTCTGATTATATTGAATCTCCCAAAAATATTAAACATAAATTATTATTATCGTTATTGAATTTTTGAATTTTCCAATTATAACAACAACTACTACTGCTACTGCTACTACTACTACTACTACTACTACTACTACTACTACTACTACTACTACCTCTACTACTACTACAACTACTACTACTATTACTTCTACAACAACTACTACTACTACTACTACCACAACAACTTTTTGAATTAATTTTTCAAAAATCAAAAATGTTCTTGGTTTTGTCTGCAACGAACAGTGTGCATGGCACCTCCAATGTGTGACGAGGGTACACAGTGTCCCAACGCTAACGGCAAATACACAGAGATTGACAGCAACTACTGCCTGACTTGTCAGTGCTTCGATCCTTGCAAGGTAATTGTCTGTTTGAGTATCATATTTTATTGAACTGTCTAATTTATACATTTGTTTTTTGCTGTTTGGTTTTTGTTTTTATATAAATTTCTGTAATTTACAAAAGTTGCACATCAATCTTTTAAAGAAAATTTGAGAACGAAATATGTATGACGAATTTTTAAGATTTCGTTCATTTTGATTTTATCATTGAATGAAATTGAAACTGAAGGTTTTAGTTTAAAGTTTATTAAATAAATTACTATATGTATTGGATTTAGTTTAACATATCTTGTCAAGGGTCAATGATAGCATATCATGTTATCATTAATTAAAAGTTTTCATTTTTCTGATAAGTAGGGCTGAATGGTGAATAAAGATGTGACCACAGTCAACTTTAATAATACTCTACTCTTATAACCAAACGTTTTCGATACAATCATAATTTCGAAGTAACATTTTGAAAAACAAGCAATCCTCCTAAGTGTTTATTTATTCAAGTAATTGTTTATTCTGATTTTAACGGAAACACCAACATAATTGAAAAGATAAAAAATGTTCCACTAATGAACATTTCAGGATAAGGACTGTCCAGGCTCTAAGAAATGTGAGGTGATAGACAAAGGACCAACAGCTGGCGGCGACCCCATGTTCCAGGGGGAGTGCAAGTAGCACAGGCACCTCTCACTGTATGTGTCACGACACTTCGCATATCTTCTTAACCTTTAACCTTTAACTTTCTTTTAGACATTTGTTCATTATTTGCATATTTTTGCCTGGCTATATGTTTTGCTTCAGCTGGTGTTTAAAAATGCATTATTATATTTATTAGTTATTAAATTAAACTAAAATGACTTAATTTTAACTAAATTTGGTTCTATCGTTTTTAATAAGAACGAACATTGAGTGGTCTATAACGAATCTGTAGCAATGTGTACAAAATATTTCACGATTTATTAGATGCATGGATTTTTAGTAGCCTAAAATTTGACACCTTCAAAATAAGGCAAAAATAAACTATTTCATTTATACAACTATTCAGTTATAAGGCATTTATATATTATATTTATCATTTTAATCAGTCAATCAAACTGCTGTGTTTTAACCCAAATATCTAAGGAGTTCAGCAAGAATGCGAATTATGATTTTAATTCTGGAACAATAAAGTTTAAATACTGCAATATTTTTTTTGAATCGAATGTCTACAAAAAAAAAAAAAAAAAAAATTTAGATCGTTCCAAGTGTTACACGAATGGGGAGAAAGACATGTTGAACCCAAAATTAATTTTAAATAAACTTTCTTGTAAAACTCTGCCATATACATAATCTAATTAGTTTTATAATTTGTTGGTTACTTTTCAACAACTGTCATATGTGCGTAACTGCGTGCATTTAATTCCCTGCTTAAAGTTTAACTGGCATATAACCAGCTAAAAACTTTTTACAAAATCTGTAACAAGTATTACATTTTCCAAAAAAGATTAATAATTAACATCATTAACTTCTTAATTAAAGTCACCATCATAATTACTATAATCGTTAACATCATAATCATTATCATCAGAGCCATCATCATTATCATCATCATCATTACTATCATCGTCATCATCATCATCGTTATCATCACAGCCATCTTCATCATCATCACCATCATCATCATCACCATCATCACATCATCATCATCATTTCTCATAATCGCCTTCGACAGACACTACGTGCTGAGAAATAAACATTATCACGCAACGCACGTGTTACCTCATGATATGATTGCATGATAGTATTGATAACAACGAAGATGTGGTGCTGATCGTGACGATCATAGCAATGTTTATTACCATCAATGCCATATTGCCATTATTCTAAATTGTTTTTGTTTTTTATTTGTATTAAATCTTTCAACCAGCCATGAATAACTCAAATCTGATTAACGAAGGAGGTTTGTTTGCGCGGTTTGCTGCAAATGCGGACTCAAGTGCGTTATTTAAAATTAAATTTTCAATTTTCAAAAATTTTCAGATTAAAAAATGTTGATTTTTCGTTTGTTTGCATATGTATGTACGTGTGTGAGAAGAGAATGTATGTGTATTTAATGGCCAGAGCTGAGTCTCTCTGGGGTCCATGTTGATAAAGCCAAGCGAGCAGCTTTTACTAATTACTTCAGCAGATTTAAGAAAATAAAGTTAGTTGGCTTACTTATGAAATTGCATGGGTTTTAACAAACAACTACATGGGAAAATGGCGTCATGCTAGCTGTATTCTATACTTAGTGAAATGTATCTCTTAAAACTTCCACGTTTAAAAAATTACTGAAGTCTTATTTTTTCACATTATAGAAATTTATTATCTTTTTTTGGTTCTGTTATGTTTTTGTAACTTTAATCAATGTGTATATCATTTCGGATTCGATGTTTGATTCTTTTTTTTAATGTGGTTGGTTGATGTCATTTGTCTATTTAATTGGTAAAACGTGTGATGTTCGCGGGTTAGAACCTCGAGCTCGTTTTTTTAAAGAGAAACATTTTTTAGGTGCAAGGGACTACAGCGAATGTTCATTGTTCATGTCGTGTGGTTTTTAATTTTCATAATTTCCTCTCAAACTGAATATAAACTACAAACATGCTGAAACTCCTTTCACTACGGAAACAAAAAGAAAATTTGAATACTTTATTAAAAACTTTCTAAATTTAGTTTTCATTTTTAATTACAAATTTAAAAATTCTAAGAAAATCTTCTACATACCTATCCATCCACAGGGTTTATTCACTAAGTAAAACAAGTTGGGATTTGGCGATTGGAATATTCAAGGAAGCCTGTATAAAATCAGCGGATCGATTTGGCATGTACAAAGTGGAATATGAGCTCAATTAGATTAGTTGGAGATTTAATAAATTACTTGCTGCTAGTGTCTTGTTCGTAAAGATGGTGATGACGATGATGAAGAAAAAGAAGATGATGGTGATGGTGTTTAATGATTAGTATAACATTGTATGTAATTTCAGTGCATGTCATATATAAATAAATAAGTTAAATAATTAATTAATTAATTACCAAAAACAGAACATAAAATGCCCACCAGACCTAAATGTTACTCACGTTTGCGCACCAACTCGTTAAGAAATGTTTCAGTGTACGTTGGTAAGTATACTCCCCAGTCTGTGAAGTAATTGTAATAATAATGTTTACAACAAAAATAAATTGTTTACATGAAGAGTACATTTTGATTTTGGCATCATTATCTTTGGAAATGGAATTTGGCAGTGGGAATGTTTAAGGAGCCGTAAGAGAATGTGAATTGCAGAGGTAGGCCGGGGATTTTTATTCCACACCAAAAATTCACTTCATAATTACTTACTATTAATTCAGAGGTCTCAAAAGACAAGCACACACAGCGTATATGATTAAATTTTACTTTTTTTATTAGTAGTATAGCAGTAGTAGCCGTAGTTGTAGTAGTAGTAATGGTAGTGGTAGTATTAATAGCAGTTGTAGTAGTAATAGTGGCAAACGCAGAAACGACAACTTCCAAAAGCCAATATTCAAAAAATGATGAAATAAAAGTTAATAATCCAGGAAGTGAATTGATGAGGAAGCAAGTAATTTTAACGATGGCCATATTGGCAACAACATCCGCCCTTCGCTAGAATTTTTTCGCTGTGACTTTTTGTTATATGTAGAATCATTTCCTACTCAAATAATAAAAATAATATTAACAACAATGATAACAATAATAAATTTTGACGAATTTGAAGACCAGTTGATGAGTTTTTTTATTTTTATAGTGTTGGTTGGTTAAATTAATTTTAACTTACACCCACTTTTTGTGGGTTAAAATTTTTAATGGTAAGCCAACAACATATCATTTTCATCGGTAATGTAATTTGCTGTGTTAAGCTCAACTAATCATTGAAAAAATTATCTCAACTCGTTTGTCTTCATGTTGTTAAATGTTTCATAAGTTATACATTGATATTTGAAAAGCTGATGTGACATCATTTTGATAAACGACAATATTTCAGATGCACTTATTGACAACTTTAAAAAAACTTAATAAATTTTAGATGACATATTAATGACAATATTTCAGGTGAATATTTCAGCTTCTTTCAAAAAAAAATTTATAATTTTTAGATGACAAAATCAATGCATCTCGTAATAAGACAGCGGATATTTCGTCGAGTTGTAATCACAGTTAATGTAGATTTTATCGGTAACACCTGCAAACTCAGACTCCAAAGATCGACTAGATAAGATATGAAGCATATAAAATACATATACTATTGCATGATTGATTTTAATCTAATGGACCTATATTCGTTGATTCTACGCGTTAATTTGTCTCTTTGTTCACATCTTTCATATGATTAAATATGAAGTTGATTCGAGCAAAATCTAAATATAAGGCTTTGGATCCCAACGGTTGAATCGTTTCGTAAGAATATTTTGAAGTTTTTTGGGAGAAAAATCAAAAAGTCAACCTAAACAGGTTAAAAATTTTGCTTGTAATCGAATTGTCATTTTATAAACTTATGATTAAATAAATATTTTTTAAAGGTCTTATTTTTTTGCATAAAATATTTTTCAAAATTCAGTTATCCAGTCATGAGAAGCATCCTGATGTTACTTGTAGTGGCTTGCTGTGCCGTCCAGATGAACATGGCGCAAGGCAAGGGATCATGTTAGTATTTCGCCATTACGTTTTTCAAGTTTTAATTTTTTGTAACATTTTCAGAATTTTGTTTAAAAAATAAATGAACGAATCTAGTTCAGCGGCAACTTTTATCGTAGATATCCTAAACAAAAATACTTACTACTTTAAAACATTTTCATCATATATACAATAAATTAAAGAAAATACAAGCATTAAACAATTAACAACTATTAAACAACAAACATACGACCCTTTATCTCTCACTCACTTCATTTCCTCCACCCTCTCTCTTTCTTCTCTCTCTCTCTTTCTCTTTCTCTCTCTTTTTTTCTCTCACTTCAAACAACGTCAAACAACAACCACCATTCCACAACACACAGCCTGTGAGATGTCACCCATGTGTGATGAGCCATGCCCTGCCAACATGTACCCGAAACTGGACGACGACTACTGCTTCAACTGCGAATGCTTCAATCCTTGCCAAGTTTCTTCTTCTTTTCAATTTAACATTTTATTTTCATTCGAAAAAATTTACCAAATTTGACTTGTGACAAGCTAGCAAACGTCTGTTAACGAGCTTTCAGTTTTAAGCTATTTTAGAAAATAAAAAGTATAGCAATTTAAAAGTTGTTATGAGATGAAAAATAACTTCAAGTTTATAATGATGTTTAGTATATATTGTGGGTTTGTTGGTTAGGTTGGTAGTTAGGGAACGCTCGTTGAACGAATTCTTTGACTTCAAACAAGTCAAATTTGAATAAATAAACAATATTATTATAAATTAATAATTGCTTTTGAAGGGTACTTCGTGCCCCAACGGGTGCAAGGCAAGAGTTGATGAATACACAGTTCTCGGTGACCCGATCTACGTAGCTGTCTGCCAATAAACTGGCCTTCCCTTCATTCAAATGAAGATAATGACACAATGAACTAATTTTAAAGTTGTGTCTCATTTTTGCTAAATTTATAAATTAACATGACCATTTAATATATAAATCTAATGATTACGTAATTACGATAACAAAACTTGCATGAAAATGTGATTGTTTTGGAGTTATTTCTTAAAAACTCAATATATATATAGATATATATATATATATATATATATATATATATATATATATATATATATATATATATATTAACGCCAAACATTCGGTAGAATTTATAGAATATTGTAAATATATATATATATAATAAATAAAAATAAAAACTGTTAGAAACATTTTCATTAAAACTGATTGCACTAGATATCGCCAAGAAATCAATAGTAGTCCTCAAGAAATTAATGGTAGTCCTAAAAGACAGAAATGATCACCAACCGATATAGATATCTCGAGACGTTAAAAATGTAATAAAAAAAAACTATTGCATTTTATTTAAAATAGGTTCAACTTCGTTTATTACAGTGTGTGTGCATGTGTGTGTGTTCATGTGTGTGTGTGTGTTTCTCGTTTAAAATTTGTTGATCTATTAAGACAACATTTTTGCAATGGTTTTTAGTGGCTCCTCGAAACATCAGAGTAATATGTGTTATTTTTAGATTGCCCATAGTTTTGTAGGAGAAATATTTTAATTTTTAGAAAAATTATAACAACAAATAAAATCAGGATGCTTAATGCTTCAACGGAAAGCATTGTAAGGCCACAATCTCCGAGAACTCTAAAACGAGCGACCCTTACTACGTTGGCCAATGCCAGTCAGACCTAACAACATTCACTGAGAATTTCAAATATTAAATATTTATTTTTCAAATTTTGAAATGATGGTAATTTAATAAATAATGTGAAAATAATTTAAAATGCCGATTAAATTATATTTTTATTATTTATTTTATATGGCTGTTGTCGTTTTTGAATAATAATAAAATTTGATTGATAGAAACAGGTTTGAAAAATTATTTTGGTTTTGAATTTAGCAAAATTAAACTGATAAACTCAATAAAAATGAGTTTTATATAAATTTATTGAAATTGTTGTAGAGCAGTGATGGGCAAACATTTTGCTGTAAGGGCCCCGTTGAGAACTATTTTATCCTTTCTTTGAAGGGCCACATATGTACTTAAATAGCAAAGTTTTTCGACCAATAGGACAATTTTTTAAGGTTTGTGGCTCATTTTTTTTGGTCATAATGTCTGTCTGACGACTTTTTTTTAGGCGAACAAGGCCTCACGGGCCGCATAAAACAGCTGCACGGGCCGTAGTTTACCCACCTTTGTTGTAGAGTTAAAAAACAGAAAATTTAAGTTTTTTCTGATTCTCGAGTCTGTATTCCTAAATTTTTTCAACTATTCAAACCCAAACAAAAATAACTCAATTAATTGCACAAATTAATTAATCAATTTAATTATTATCTCATTAAATTATAGATACCAACTGATAAACGTATTCGATGTTAGCCGTGGTTTTTGGCAAACATTTTTAAAATTTATCTTTCCACATTGCAATAAAACAGTAATAACACTAATTAAGGTAAATTAATATACGTACATGCAATTGAAATTGACACTTTTCACATAAAATTCACAAGGCTCTTTCTGTCTTTGAACTCGGATGATGCAAAACAAGAGCAAGTACCTATTAACTATTTCTGTATATTCCACCCACTGATCATCTTTGTGCGGCAGTTGTTTACACATCATCTACCGGCTTATTTATTAAGAATCAATTACAAAAATAAACTTCACGATTTGCTGATCAATTAAATATTATTACGTCATTATTTATTCAAAATTTCTGCGTACGTGCGGACGTGCGTGCGTAGGCATGAGTTCGTTATTCAATTGAGAGCAGGCTGAAATTTGGACACGAATATATATATATTTGTTTTTGTATTTGAAACACCGAGTTTTAAAATTATCTTGAATCTAATTTTAATTTTTTTTTGTGAAATAAGATGATAATTAAAACGTTGTCGAAAACTAAGATAGAAGAATTACAAGCGTTTTTACCGAAGAAAGTCGTTTTCCATTTGAATTAGGTTTTAGATTAGCAAAATTATATTAATATTTTTTATTAACTATAATTATAATTAATATTTACTTAAAATTAAAATTTAATTATAATTAATATTTTTATCCAGAACGTATTTAAGTTATTAAAAACAAACAACTTATTGGTTTATTCATTTTTCCAAAAAAATCAACTTCTCGTAAAACGTATTTTGCATTAATTTTTCGGAAATCAGGTTAAATTTTTCTAGCAATGAAGTCGGTTGTTGCAATTTTGGTCGTAGCAGTGTCTTACTTGATGAGCGTATGTCTGGCTGCTGTTGGTTGGTAAAACTAATTTTTGTACTTTAATTAAAACGTTCATCATCATTTAAAATCATTTTACCCATAATTATTTTTCAAATTGACTACCTGTGTAAAAAATTTCAAACTTTACAAAAATTTGAAATTATTTTTAAAAATGAATATCAGACTTTTATGGTATTGATAATTATCATAACTATTATTTTGTGTTATTTATATAGCGCTTTGTATGTATACACATCATACGCATCTAATTATAACATTCAATATTGATGAAACTTCCATTCATTTTGTCAGATTAACTATTTAGTAAATGATCTTTTTCTCATTTTATAATAAACTAGACTGTCCGAAGCCTGAATTGGGATTTTGTTTGGAATATGAGTTTCTGTTATATGATAGTCACGGCTGCACTTTCTGTTGGAACAATTTCTACATAGACCATCCCAATTGGGTTTGTTCAAGCTTTTCAATCGTGTTTGATCTTTCTGAAGACTGAAATGTTGATTTTTTGTATGTTTGTTTTTGCATTAATTGGGAATGTTTCGTTTTATGGTGCGCGCTGAAAAAATAAACATGAAAAATATTAAGTTTAACTGTGGTTTTTGAATTAATATTGAGAAAAACAATTTGTCAGACAATAGATTTATATTTGACAATAACAATATGACATTGTAAAATGTCGTTACATCTGGGAATGCACGTATCTTACAATACAATTACGTGCAATGCAGAAACACCGAATAAGATATAGGATAAATTCAAAAATATTTAATCAACGGCTCAGACTGAAATTTTCTTCCTTAATAAAGGTTTCATCATGCCCCGATGGCTACACGGTAGAGAAGGGTGGAACAAAAACATCAGCACTGAAGGGAGGCAAGCGAAATGATGTAGTCTGTTGCTACTGAGTCATGGAAAGCATGGCAAGCTGGCAGAAGCACCATTTACGTAAACATCATCAGAGTTTCAACTGAGTGAATTTATGCCAGAGTTAACGATATGTTTAAAAAAATTTAACAAAATATCTGTAAAAAATTATGTGTAATAATTCTGTGTTGCTTGCGTTGCTGACTTTGAACATTGAATAAAGTAACAAAAGGTTATTTGCGTGTTTTGAAACTGTAGATAAATTAAATTGAACATTGATTAACCTAAAACATTTCAAAACAGACCTTTATTAGCATAAAAATAAGCTGTTTTTAAATTAAATATTTGAAATGTTTTAAATAATATTATTAACGATATCACCTCTTGGGAATTTTTTGCTTTAGACATTCACATAAGATCGATAGAAATGCTTCAAGTAAACAAACAAACAGTCAATCGATTGCAATAGATTTCAACTAAAATATTTGTTCCCGCATTTTGGTTCTCCAATGCAAATCCACGCGTTAAAGCACATATGTATGATCTTAACTTGTGTACGAAAACAGGTGTACAAATATATGAAAAAAAATAATTATTAATAAACATAAAATGAAGCAGTTTTTTCAGTTTGAAGGCTTGAAAAATACATGACTGATATTAGCATATCCTTTGTACAAATTTTGTGCGCAAAACCCATCAGCAATACCCTGGTTGGTATTTCAAGAAACGCTTTTGTATCTTCGATTAATTTTTTAACTTCATCACAAACAAGGGAATTATAAAATTGAAAGAAATAGAGAGAAAATATAATTATGAATTATTGAACAAAAAAAATGTTATTTTAAAATTTAACTTTACGTGGTATTCAGCTTTTTGTCATTTAGAAGTTCACCCTACTCAAGCTGAACATTTGCAAAACGATGAATACACTTCTACGCCTACCTGCGGCTGTATTTCTTTTACTTACTATGGAGACTGATCGCCATTTTAGATTCATCTTTTACATCCGTCCCTAAACTTTGTTAGAGTGAGTCGCCCACGCATGCGTATATTTAAAGATATCAAAAAATATATGTCGAATAATAAATTATTTACGATTGCATTGAATATTAAATTTTGATTATTATGAAAAACAACGAAGTGTTTATCGATGCAATAGAAGAAGGTGTGCACGTTAATAATGTAAATTTCAGTGATAGTAATCACGTTTTGCATTTACGATAGAAATATTCAGCTCTTGTGTGGAGTTGACCTACTGTGTCTTATATTCAAATTTTGATATATAATATGCAGATGCACGTATGTATTTGCTGAGGTGTGGAGAGAACAGATTCTGAAACACAAAAGTTTAACAACAATTTTAATGTTACGTAATTTTAATGTAAGTAGATGTAAAATTTTCAGAACTGCATTTTGGAGAACAAAAAATATTTCAATTAGAACGAGACCGGTTGACTATGGATAGGTAGTAATTCTAGTCTGTCGACAAATTTCACGACGTTTCTATTATTTTCATTTTTTAACATTAAATTATATAAATATACATACATATTTTCTGAAATACATGTTGTTTTTTTCAAAACTTCTAAAGAAAACATGAAAGAATCTTTAAGGCTCCTACAAAATTGGCTATCTAAAATATAAATATTCAACTTTGCGATAAAACTTCATTTCTCCGTTACCAATAATATGTTTTACCCAATATTTTTTTTTCGTTGTTGCTTTTATCGTAACCCCATACCACGCATTACCATAATCTTAACT